AAACGGTGGAGTTCGTGAGGCCACGGGTAGCAGTGGGGCGCAGGCACGTCGAAGGCAGCGGTCTGAAAGAGGTCAGAGGTGCCAAGGAGAGGGGCGGACCTGCCCCGAGCCACGTTAGCTGTAAGCCCCCCTTTCAGCCTGGTCTAAGGGCGCCCTGAAAACCTGAACGCTCCCCCTGGCTTTATAAATGCCGCATTTACTTGGGTTGACTGGGTCTGACTGTTTCTTCACAGGAACCACCCGGCCTTGCTATGTGTTTGTCGAAAAGCCGGCGAGGTAGCGCGTGGGGAAAGGGGAGCTGTGAGCCAAGGGCTTTCTGTGCGCTGCGAATGTCTTCGCTCGCTCAGAATTAAATATCCGCCTCTTCCCCAGCTGTCGGTAGTCTCCTTCCAGTGGAAGATGGATACGGATTCACATTCCTGCGCAAAACCCTCTTCCCTGCCAAATGCCGCGCCGCGTGTGCAGTACAGCCCTAGCTGTGTCCGTGGGGACGGGGAGTGATCTGGCACGTGCAGGGGCATGGGAGTTGCGGTCCCTTGTGCCTGCTGCCCTTCTCTGTTGCTCTGCTTTGAGCTGAGTTGTTTGCAGTCCAGGGACTTTCATCTTGCGTGCAAGCGACTGACTTGAATGGGTATCCTTTACTTTCTCCTCTCTTTTTTTTGTTTTAGTATCCTCTGTTTGGGGAATGTTTTCTCTTGCCAAGATCCAGGTGCTGACAAAACTGGCCATGCGGTGACTCTTAAACAGTAATGATGCAATGGGTGTCTGTGGTAGCTGGAGTAGCGCCACTTCCTTCTCTTTTGAAGGAGAAGATGCTGGAGCTCTACCTCTCCTAAGGGAAAGCCTTGCCTTTGAGCGGTGCTTTCTCTTTAACGTGCACATGGGATGACTTCAGTGAACTCGTGTATTTAACCTCAGGTCCTTCCTGTAGCACTTCCTGAGACTAGTGATTGCCAGGATACTGAAAAACAGCCATGCTCGGGAATAGCCTGAGGAGACAAGATAATCCAAACACAGTGTACTTGTTTAAACATGACCCCTCACGGAGATGTTGGGAAGGTCACCGCCGTGCCTAAAAGGACGCTTGCAAAACCTGTAACCTCTAGCTTTACTTCTCCCAGTTTCAGGAGGGATTTCTTACCTTATTTTTCATACTTTAGAGCTATATTCAATTCTGAGGATTGTATAAACGTGTATATTCATAAGAATATACATACACATCTCCTGACAACTAAGGCAATTGCTATACTAGATCAAACTGGTAGTCAGTCTAGTCTGTTCTTTAACTGGCCAATTCAAGTGGTCCAGAGGACGAACTGAGCAACTGCAATGCCCTGGAGTGGAAAAAGCCTCTCCTTGCTAGGGTGTCCACCTAAATCCTGCACTGAGACAGACGTGAGACTTGAGGTATAGTTTTGGGATCCTTCACAAGATGGTATAAGATCTCTATGAAACTGCCTTTCTAGGCAAATGATTTTATTATGAATCTCCAGAGTACCTTTATTCTCTTGGCCTCTCTGCAGACAGTGGCAAGCTAAGTTGGGTAGTGTAAACTGTCCATTTGAAAGTCTGCTTGGCTGTTTTGTCCCTCTCAAATAGGAAGATTTCTCCCCTCACCCCCATTTTGATGCATATAATAAATCAAGACTCTGTCCTCTACTGCTATAAAGATTTTATTGTGAATGACAACTCCGTGGGCTGATGTCTTCAGCAGCAGACAGACAGTTTTGGTGTCTGCTGTTACTCGTGACTTTGCCAGGCAGCCCCAGAGAATGAACTAATGGGACAAGGTCAGTTGACAGTAACAGGAATGGTATGGGCACAGCTGCCAGCTTGATGTTCTTCACGGTCAGAGAGCTTTGCAGATATTGATCCTCGTGTGTAGTAAACTAGGTCTGGTTTCCATAATAGAGCCGACATGTTATGCACTGTCTAAATCTTTTTGCTGTGATAAGGCTGTTTTAGGGACTGAATCCTCCCACCTCTCTTCACCTGCTTGCGGAAGCTCTCCTTGGAGTTAAAGGAAATGGCAGAAAACTTCAACTATACTAATTCTGCCTTCTCCTACTGAATGGAGCAGCATCTTCCCTGTTCCTGCCAGACACCTTTGCTTGCTTGCTGTCTATGTAAAGACTGAGGTGGAAATTTTCGTTTTGCTTTGAACATCTGAATTGTGAGTGATCCATCTTGTAGCAGCAGAAGAGCAGTGTTACAAGAACTAGTAGGGCTTTCTGCGCTTTGACTGTCACTGCATATCCTTTGAGGTATGGCATAGCCTGGTAGGTTGAAATGGAGATGCTGTTGCTCAGTGATGTTCTGATTGCCTCTCTTAATATCTTTGAAGCAAGGTTTTCTTTTCCCCACCCTGCCTCCTAAAGCTTTAATTTGCTGGCTGTTACTGAGAAGGATTTCCCTATGCCTGTATCTAACTGCACATTTTGCTAAGTAAACCTGACCTCTGCAGCTGCACAAGGTGCCCTGAAGTGATTTGCTGAGTATTCCCTGTGTGCTTCTGCTGTAGCAGGAAGTACCGTGTGCTTTTCTCAGCCCCTATGTTCGAAAAGTTTGCCAGCACTAAGCATTTAAAAAATCATCGGCTGAACTTCAGAGAAATGTGTCATGGTATGACTTAAATGTTTTCTGAAAATGATGTTTTCCTTGATTTGTTTTCTCATGCTGAGCTTTCTTAAGTATTTCCGATTTCTGTATGTCTGTATAAGCCAGCAGGAACACTATAGTCTTAGTATTTTACTTGACTGCAGGACCTGGAGGCTTGAAGTGGAATAACAAATATTGTGAGCTTTGGGAGAAAATGATGCCAAACCTCACGTTAATAGCTGTTGTGGGTGCTGCATAGGTTATGGTACTGCGACCTTTCAAATGAAGCCTGGAGCTAGGCTGGGCTTTCCTATGCTTTGTTCAGGTTCGGGTAACATGCTCTGCAACGCCTGTGGGCTTTTTTACTGAGTGTTTCTCTCTTATCATGTGTCACACAGCGCTAAAACAGAGGAAAGTGTTGTCTTGTGCTCTTAGAGACTGTGACCTTAATCAGAGGTTTGTTTTAGAGGAAGTGGGGTATGGTACATTGCTCTGGCATGGTACAGTGCTCTCAGCTGTTTGGTGTAATGGGATGAGGGGAAAGCTGTCAAGTGTGAAAGTTTGCAGGGAAGAGTCTTGTAACATCCCTTCTTTTTATCTAGTCAGACTGTAGTTGTGATAATGGACTATGAAGTGTGTGATTCCAGTTGATTTAGCAGAGATGTCATCTGAAGGAGGAGCGGTTGTCCCTGCTTCTGTAGTTTTTAATCTCTGTGCTGGTACAAGACTTGATATAACTTTTCTGTACCAGCTAACTGCCCTGTCTCCATGAAGGGGACTGTCTCTTTCTGAAGACCGTTTAAGGATTACATACAACCAAAAGTCCCACAGGAGCTAAGTTAGTCCAGCTCCTGGAAAAGAAGAGGTTAAGCACAGCCTGCAGACTCCTCTGCTAGCTGTAAACCCTGGGTACCCAGAGTGGGTTTGGCTGGGGAAGAGGAGGATGACTGAGGAGAGGTGCAGATGCAGGGGGGCACGTCTAACATATAATAACAGTTAGAAGAAAACTTACTCGTGGCCCTCAGTGTCATGGGAACTGAATACCTCTCCCATTTTATTCTGCAGAACTTCTCTGAATAAGGTAGTTTTTAATCTGCCTTGGTTCCCCCCTCTGTAAAATGAGGAAAAGGAAACTAAGCTTGTTTCCAGCTGAGAATTTAAGCTGTAGGTGACCACCTGTAGGCCAACAGCATGATGGATGTGGAAATCTCCACTCCAGACAAATGATCTGGCTCCCTGTGAAATACCATCAACTAGCCTGTGCCTTATCTATTGGCAAGGGCTAGCATGACTGTACAGTGTCTAGAGAAAGCGAGCTGTATGACTGTGCCAGGAGTAGCTGAGGTGAAGGTGAGATGAGGTGCATAAATATTTCTGAGCCTTATTTCCTCTGTAAGTCTTGCTTGTGACCTGAACATGTCTTCCGGGTGGGACGGGAAGGCCGGCGGAGCCTGCAGGCCTACCTGCCTTCCCTCCGGTGGGAATCGCCACAGGCTGAAACTTTGGCCGTTGGCCTTTATCCAGCTGCCCTCCTAGGCAGACACAGCAGTTCTGAGCTTTGCCCAAGAAGCAAGACAAGCGTCGTGGTTTAGATAAGATAAAACCTGACCCAATCCTTGTCAGCCTTGGCAGGTGTGGCTAAATACCACCTGGGCTTTGTGTGGCAATGAGGAGCAGTCATGCCTTGCAGCTGCTCCTGTGGTGAGGCCTGCACATACCTCCTGCAAAGCCTTCTTAAAACACGGACACTTGGTGCTGCAGCCCAAAGGGGAAGGTAGGTGGGACAGCGGGGGATGTGCCCAGTGGGACGGCAATAGCCAGGGCCTGAAGGATGAAGGAGCAGGCAAGGAACAGCCAACCAGCAATGCTGCCAGCAGAAGGACTTCTGCTGCAGATGCCTGGGTCTATTTTCTGCCACAGGCTCTGGAGTTGCTGCAGGTCCGTGAGGTGCAGCAGTAGTGAGGTGGGTGTCCTCTGAGCTGTGCTGTGCAGATCATCTGGTGCCTAACAAGGCTGAGGGCCTCTTCTGCAGCAGCACTGGCCAAACCTCTCTCTTAGCTACCTGGTTTTTGAAGGTGGTCTGTTGTCCTGAACCCTGCCCTTCTGTCTCATCTCATGGGAACTGGATTCAGGTTTATTGGAGGAGAAGACAAACACAGACACCCCCACAAACATACATATCTCCCACTGCATGGTTGGTTTGGGGGCTTGAGGACTGCCTTCCATCCTCCTTGCCCCCTTTGCCTCTTGGACGAGTTTGCAAGACCTCTGCTCTGCCTTCCTTTCCTGCCAAACTGGCATATAGACTCGTAGCATTGTCTCTAGAGCAGAAGAGTAACCCTCTGCTCCAGTGCAGGTGCACAAAAGCTTTTGATTAAAAGTGTTTCCTCTGGCAAGAAGTCTTTTGCTTCCTATGCAAATCTGGTTGCTCAGTCTAAGCTGCTAAATGCAAATGGATCACTTGTCGTTCTCTCTGGGAAGAGAGATCTGGGCTTTATGTAAAGGAAAGGTAAGGTCTCAGCAGCCACCTGTGGATTTGTGCTGGAGAGAGGTCAGCATGGCTGTAGTTCGTTCATGCTGATCTCATAAATAGTTCCTGCCGGCTTAGTTTTGGTGTATCGTTACTAGCGCCCTGTTCGTTTTAGTACAAAGGAGTCCATAAAACAGCTTAAGGCTAATGTAAAGCATCGTGTCCAAGTACATAATGCCATGCCTTTGTGATTTACTTAAGAGTTATGGCAACCCTTATGGGATTGTTCTCCCATATTACCCCTCTCTAATCTCTTTATCTTGAAGGGAGGGTCCGCAGGGAAGGAAGTGAACAAGCCTGTCCTTGAATATTTACTCAGTCCTGCCTTCAACAAAATTTTCTGAGCTTCAGGCACTGTATTAACTTCCGGGTAACTAAGACAGTTGAGGTACTGCATCACCTACAAACACAGGGAGAGAGAAATTGTGTTCAAAAAAGCTGTGCTTCTGGAATATGGAGAGAACTGTGTTGGAAGAACATGAGATCAGCTAATAAATATTAAGGTTCACTGATATTAATGTGGAAGAAGTGTGCAGTGTCTGCATTCAAGTTAAAAATATATATGTGCACGCATCACATTTCTTTTCAGTATACCTTCAGATTTTTTGTATCCCCTTTTACCTTTCTGTGGTGCTGCTTGAACACGTTCTCTCAAACTTGTGAGGTAGGATGTTAGGCAGGGGAGATATTTCAAGCTGTTGGTGTCAAAGAAATTTGTGTTTATAGAAATGGATTAACGTTTACTAGCTGCGTGTGTGTGATGGGTTGGTTGTTTTCTCCCCTCTCTTCTTCCCACCTCCGCACTGCGTCCAAGTGCAGAATCACTGCCGACTATGATTTGGTGATTCAGCCTGTTCTGACGCCTGGGTCCTTTTTCCTCTGTTCAGACTGGGCAAATAAAATCGAAGCGTTCAGTCTGTAGCCATGCTTGAGAGCCCTTGCTGTTGTCCTAAATATGGGGAGGCTGTAATGATGCTTAAATTGGCTCAGTCCAATTCTATCTGAAAATCCTCTTCTCTGAACAATAAATTGGGGGGGAGCAGGAGATTCGAGTGCCCTGACTAAATCCAAAGCCTTTTTGGCATCAGTGGACAAAGCCTTTTTCTTTTCAACATGTACTACTAAATACATAGGATGTGCAGTATGGTTGAATTAGCATTACTATGGGAACCATAACTTTTGTATTTCCTGACCTTTATCCATGTAATGCTAAGGCTTATTAGTATGTGGCTCTAAAATGCTTTTTGCCCCCTCTTTTTGTGTATTGAGCTTTTTGTTCTGGTCAGTACTAAGAGGAGCTTTATACAAGACTCGAGAAGGAGATTAGAGACAGGCTGTGAGGTGCAGAAGAGCAGTTTGTTCCCTTTTTTGTGCTGTTTGAGAAATTCCAGCTGAGATGAGAAGCACAAGCTGAGACCACAGTTCGGTGTTAAGCATCACCTCTGCCACAACGGTAAACAAAATGGTGAGTCAACTCTCCTGATCGTTTGCCAAAGGCAGGTAACACAGTCAGTCTGATTGTTTGCCTCGGCTGCGTTGCTAGAGCTTGCCCCAAAGGATGTTCGGTCCTGAGACTTGCACAAAGCTGAGCCAGTGCCTTGAGGGGAAGAGAGGAGAGGTGAAGCTCCCCGGCAGACAGGAGCAGGGCTGCCCTCGCGCAGCGTCGAGCCCTCCTTGACAGCCTGGGGCAGCTCGTTGCGGGGAAGGGGGCCATGCGGGAGTTTGGGTTGTGAAGCTGAGGTACTAACCTGCTTTAATGATCGCTAACGTAGGGCTTCTCCTCCTCCTCTGAGAAGTTCTGCTGCCTCGTCGATGGGAGCGCAGCAAGGCATTCTGGTCCCGTCACCCTGCCGCCCCCCCTATGCTGAAAATGTTTGGGAAGGGGATTTTGCAGCAGCCTTTCCCCTTTTGGTTCTGTCTTCCATGCTGTTGCCCTGCGTTAACAGTGAACTCCCTGAAAGAGGCCCGGGGAAAGCTAGTGCCTTACTGTATCAAAGGCAAGTGTGGCGGTTTGTGGTAGTCTTCATGTGCCTCCATTTTTGAGTCTGGGTTGTGAACTAGCCATCTTAACAATATGGGAGGAGGGACCTGCCTTTACCTTTGCTTTCTGCTGATCCCGTTATCACTTGCTGCTGGGGGGATGGGGCTATTTGTAACCCCCCCCCCCCCATGTAGTTTGTGGATTGATGAAGTCTGCTCTTCAGAAACCAGCTGGAGCTTTCTCAGTGGAAAATGTTCAGAAGAGTGGTTTCTTTTGCTCTCTGTGGAGGCTGGGCCTGCCCACTCACCACTCGTACGCCAGGGCTTGTTTGCTGGGCAAATATTATCCTTGAGGGCTGATGGAAAGAGGCATTTGGGGTGGGAGGGAGCAAAGGGGATGAAACCGTGCCAAATGATGAAAAGTCGACCTGCCAGCGTCTGTGTGCTCTTTTTTCCCTTTGTTGTCCTCTGAGAAGTCCTCAGGCCTGACTAATGGGAATTGCCTGACAAGGCTGAGGGCAGCTTTGTGCCAGCTGGAGGTCCTGAAGCTGCTGTTCGGTGACAGACCCGCACCCCCATTCAGCATCTCAAACTGGCGGAGGGCAAGGAGAGGCTTGTTTCCTTTTTGGTGGTACTGTGGGAAGAAGGGGCACTTTGGTTAGTGACAGTATGGAGTAGCCTCTATGGCTGTTTTAATGGGAAAGTCTTGGGCACATGTGATAATAGCACATGCTATTTTACTGTGCTTTGGAGGGATACTCCTTGCACTTCAGTGTACTGCTTTACCTTTCCTTTTTTCTAAGCTCTGTGTACTTCTCTTTGTAAAACAGGTAGCCAGCTATGGAAAAGTGGAGTCAAACTTCAGGCAGGATTCACAGGGGCAGTTTGCAGTCCTGCCCTTGTTGAAACTGGATGGGAGGTAGGCACCAAGCTGCTTGCCTTCCCTGAGAAATTCTAGCTGTGTTTCTAAGTTCAGCATGATATAAAGGATCATCTGCTTTTCTTACCATTTCTTCCCATCTTGCCTGAGGCCGCTCAGACACAAGCCCTTCTTCACAACAACAACTGTACATGAGAAAGGATTATGAAGATTTTACCTAAGGAACGTATTTGCAGAATTTCATGTGCTGCTTTCTGAATCAACTGCTACTGGCCTCTGTTGGAAGGGGGATAAGATGCATAGGGAGCATTGCAAACCACACCTCCTAGCTTGTACCTGCTCTGATTATCTGTAGTAGCAGGGCTATTTCTTCACTGGATTTTGCTGTGGAATACTGCTGGTCCCAAGGAAGGGGAATGATACCATCCTGCTTCTCGAGGTATTTGGGGAGAGCTGGACCGGTAGAGAGAAGAGATGATGTTGTGAAGCAGGGGAGAGAGGAGTGCAGAAAGCGTTTCTTGTGGGCAGGGAATTATTTGAGTAGAAGGGAGACTGAATGGGTTTCAAGCTGCTGTGTCTCAGCAGAGTTTCTGTTTTGACTTCCTGTTTTTGCTTTAAAGAAGCAACGTAGAAACAGGACAAAGACTTACTGAGTAGAGTAGCATTGTCTGTTATTAAGAAAAATGGTGTTATTCCTGTACTTTATTCATTGGTTTAGAAGAACTGGAGATGCTTAATTCAGTTAACCATCAGATTAAGTCTGAATTGCCCAACATCTTTGCAAATGTTGAACTGGAAATGCTTCCTCCTAGTTTTGATATGGTTCTGCAGGTTGCTTAACTAACTAGTGGATCACTGGTTTGGGAACTGCTGATTTACAGTATTCGCTGCAATGGTAGCATTTTCAAAAGTAAAGAAAATGCTTTCTTACAATATATGGGATTGTAGTGTTTTCTTATGAAATGGAGGTCTTGAGCTGGTTAGATTAAAGACTAAGGATATTCTGCTGCATGCTTTGTGAAAACTCGGAAGTTTTCTTTGAAAACATATGTCAGAAAAATTTCCACTCTCACCTAAGTACACTTACTTCTCCTCCTTCCCCTCATGCCCATTTTCTCTAATCCTATGTCAGTGTTGCTACTGTGGGAGCTTCTGACTCTGTGACAGCTTTTGTCGGAGAGGGGATATTTCCTCCCTAGTAACTTTGCTTTACCCAGAACAGTCGTAGCGGTTGAACAGAGGCAGCAGAGCAAAAATACTTCTTAGACAGCATCTGCTCCTGGGCTGCTTTTGGGTTCGCTTCAAATGTTGTTCCTTGCGTTGATTGCTCCTTGCATTAAGCTGCACCTTGCGTGCAGGGAACATGTGCTGTTCGCTTCCATGTGTTACTCTGCTCTGTGGAGGAGAGGTTCAGGGCATGTGGCTACTTAAAACATTCTTTTTTTTTCTATCTTGCAAAAAATTTGAGGTTTTTAATATTTTGTTGCATTGTATCTTGAATGAGAAAGGGAAAGGCTATTTCTGATATCTTGCACAAGATCCTGGGATTCTTGGACGTTCGAACTGGAGCCTCTCCTTCCTTTAGGGGGAGGAAGTGGGAGTGTTGACTCCCTGGACCCAATACCTCACCTGTGACCCTCTCAGTGGTCAGACAGCTGAGAAGTGTCTGCACTCAGGAAATGGATTTAATCCTTTTCCAGTGCACAGATTAATCTGGCTTTCAGGAAGAGTCTTTTGCATAGCACAGCCAGCACCTCCTTAGTTCACAGAGAGGGAGGAAGCTTTACATTTATACTCACTGTTATCGGGGTGGATCCTCAGCTGCAGGGTAACTGAATGTCATGAAACTGTGTACATGGCCAGCTTCATATCTGTGAGGCAGAGAAAGGGTTAATTGTCTTCTCGGAAATTGGCTTTGCTCAGCTGCCTCAGCTGTGTTTGTTGTTTTGATAGCATTTGCAGAAAGGTCAAACTGTCCATGGGTCCCATCCATTGCTAGGGGGTGAAACTGATACAGCACCAACCGCAGAGAGGCTTCTCCAGGGAGCTGTGATGTCTG